CGCTAAGTTGGCGGAGCGGCCGCCCAACAGAATCTCCTGCTGGGTGCTCATTCTTCCACCGCGGCACACGGCCCGCCAGGTCTTCCACCGCCGCCCCGTCGCAACCGCCCTCGGCGCCAGAGGCGGCCGCTTGCGAGCTGCGCCCGCGTTTCCCCATGATAACGCGCGCGATGCGCGCGATGGCGGCCGCCAAGAAAAGAGGCGCACTCGAGCCGAAAAAGGCTGCGATAGACGACGACGACGGCGGCTGCGAGGGCGAGGGCGGGGCTGACAAAGAGCACGCAGTAGAGGGCGCAGGCAAGGGTGAGCGGCGCAAGGCAGGGGCGAAGCTGAGGATGAAGATAGCCTCGGAACAGCGGGCGACCATGAGAAAGCTGAGGGCGGGGGCGAAGCTGAGGATGGAGATGACCTCGGAGCAGTGTAAGGAGCTGGTCAGACTACAGAAGGTCAGGCTGATGTCGGAAGCAGTGCGAGGATCAAACGGGAGCTCGCACGAGGACGGGGTGGAGCAGATACACATTCACAGGGAGATCTTTTTTTCATGAGCTAACGCGTAAGAGAGGTCTCCACGCAATCTGCGAAAAGATCAAGGGGCGCCAGAGGAAGCCGCATATTTGCGCCAGACGCAGCAACTGTCAGCACGGCATGCGCATCATCAAGAAGCGCTCCACCGCGTCAACGCCAGGAAGGTGTAAACACCCTCCTTCGCGGAAGTGCTCGGCCAGAGCTTCGACGCGATCCTCGCTCAGCGCAAACTCGAGCGCGTGCCGCGCGAGCGCCATGCACAGAAGTGGCATTTCTGCCGGAAATGGCCGCGAAGAGAGGTAGTCGCGCAAATCCATGGCGCCACCTGGAGCGCGATACACTGCACACAGTCCCACGCCAGAGGCAGTGAATGCTGCATAAGGCATATCCGTGATGAACATCATCTGCAAGCGCATGCGAACGGCGCCCCAGCTCTCGGACCCCCACCCCCGCACATGAGGCATGGTTTTGCGCAGCTCGAAACGTGAACTTTGAGCAAATAGCGCCTGCGCAACAAACGACAAGGAGTCCATGACGCTCGAAAGAGCACTGTCCCAGACGACGTGCCAGTTGAGCAGTGGCCGCACAACTCCAGCACGCTGGCGCTTGCGACTAGGGGGAGTACCACCGGAAGAGGCGGCGCCAGAGGCAGCCGAAGAATCCGCGGCAGCAGCGGGGCTCGAGAGTTCAGCCTGCTTTGCGCATAGCCTCTGGCGTGGAACCTCCGCACGCGCAGAAACGATGCCCAAGTCACCCGCTACAGTAACAGGACGTGCTGGCTGTGGCACTTCTTCACGCCCGAACACCTCCTTAGTGTTCTGAGAAAGACAGAGGAAGCACACCAGATCATCCAGGTCGCACGTGGCGCCAGAGGCAGGCCAGACGTCCTCATATATGAAATGGCAAACTTCGACGGCGCCCTGGCACCAGAGATCCCTGGCAGCCGCAACCCCCTTTTCCGCGCCAGAGCCCACGCCAGCCAGCAAATCCCAATCCCTCTCGGATAAAGTCGGTCGAACATCCTCTGCCTTGAAAAGCCAGCGCAAAAGCGTTGTGCGCGCAGAAACCCCATTCGCCCACAACCGTACACAACGCAGATGCACCTCGCAAGTGGCATACGATGCGCCAGAGGCAGCAGTTGCGCCAGAGGCAGCAAAGGATGCCGCCAGCTTCTTCGTGGTATCCTCCAAACAGCCACCTCGCAATTCCGCCATAAGGATCAACTCCTCCTCCGCTAGTCTCCTCTTGGTCGGATTCATCACGAGGTGGTAGGAAAAGATGCCAGCGGCGCCGCCGCCCAAAGCACGCACCTGACGTCGCGGCATGATGTCCACGGTGCCCTCGTTGCCATTGCATACGACCGACAACTCATCTGGTTGAAGAATAACCATGGCCTCTCGCCACGCACGTTCGTACAAAATTGCTCGGCCCTGTGCGTCGGCCACCAGGAGTCCGCCCTTGCGCCGCAGCAAATGGTTGAGGACGCACGCAAATGGCCACCTCCAGTAGCAGGGAAACACGACGCAGAGAATCTCCAAACGCAACGCGCCAGAGGCAGCGAAATGTTCCCGAAGCACCATACCTGCCGTTATACCCATGCGAACGTCGCGCCTGTGACGCAGCGACGCGATGCAACCGCCCTGCACGAAGTCACCGAAGCAGTTCGCGACAGCCCCGATTAAGTTCCGCATCCGCTTCACCTTAAAGTGTGCTCCACGGCGCATGGGGCGGAACTGGTGGCAATCCTCAATCTTGCACGACCCGTCGTCGCGAGCACGCTGCCCGCAGATGGGACACCAACGCACCATCGGCGAGTAAGGCGCCAGAGGCAGCACAGAAACTTATGCGCCAGAGGCAGCAGGCGCGCCAGAGGCAGCGTTTCAATGTATCTTTGCGCTCGCTTGCAGAACAACGGAACCTGCGGTCCATTCGCCTCAGGCGGGTGGCTGTGTCGCTGGCCTTGAACCCAAGCTGCGATCTGCCCTGCTGCTGCTGCTGGTCCTGCTGCGGCTGCTGGTCCTGCTGCTGCTGCTGTTGCTTCTCCTTTTTCCTGATCTTCCTCCATCCTCCTCCCCTCCTGCTCCTCATCCCCCGCCTCCTCCTCAGCCTCCTCACCAGGTGAAGGCGCGCAAACCCGAATTGTTTCCTCGACGTTTACAAACAACCGAGAAATACATTCAACATCTGCAAACAGCCCAAATAATGGTAGTCGCCAGTGTGGCCAACAGCCGGGTTGCGAGTCTGAATGTTGCACTCGCCCGAGCTGCTTTTGCTTTGCCAATGTTGCAAACAGCCGAATCCTGAATCTCAACACGCGTTACAAACAGTCGATCTGCGAAATCCGATTGAGCAAACAGCCAAACATTAAGAGGCCCGAGTTTGCAAATAGAAAGATTGTGAGACCCAATGTTGCAAACAGAAAAGATGTGAACGCCAATTTTACAAACAGAAAAGTTGCGAGCGCCAATTCTGCAAACAGAAAAGTTGTGAGGCGAAATTTCGCAAACAGAAAGTTGTGAGCGTCAATTCTGCAAACAGAAAAGCTGCGAGGCAAAATTTTGCAAACAAAAAAATTGCGAGCGTCAATTTTGCAAACAGAACAGTTGTGAGCGCCAATTTTGCAAACAGAACAGTTGTGAGCGCCAATTTTGCTAACAGACAAATTGCGAGGCGACAACTCACACTCCCAACTTCTGGTTCTTGTAAGTTACAAGGACAAGGAATTACTCAAACATCGACATCTCTTCTCATCATCTTTGCAAGCGGCCGACTTGTCGACAACTCGTACATTCAACTTATGATTTCTGGGCAAAGAAGCTTGCAAACAGTCATCCTTAATTCCACCACATCTAAAGAGCGGCGACATCGCTTCCGGCCAAGACTATACTGCGCTATGATGCGCTATGCTATGCTATGCTAGGTTACGCTCGGCTGCGCTATGCTATGCTACGCAAAGCTATGCTATGCTATGCTGCGCTATGCTATGCTATGCTATGTTCCGCTAGCTGTGCTATGCCATGCTATGCTGCGCTATGCTACACTGTGCTAGGCTATGATATGATATGCTATGTTGCGCTATGCTCTGCTATGCTATGTTATGATATGCTATACTATGCTGCGCTATGCTATGCATGATGTGATGTGCTATGTTATGCTATGATGCGCTGTGTTATGCTAAGCAATGCTGTGCTATGATATGCTATGCTGCGCTATGATATTATATGATATGATATGATATGACATGTTATGCTGAGCTATGCTATGCTATGTTATGTTTGGCTCTGCTATGCTATGCTATGCTATGCTATGCTGTGCTAATGCTGCGATGCGCTATGCTTCGCTGCGCTATGCTAAGCTAAGGTGAGCTAAGCAATGTTAAGCTAAGTTAAGCTGAGCTGAGCTAAGCTAAGCTACTCTAAGCTAGGCTAAGCTAAGCTAGAGTGAGATAAGCTAAGCTACGCTAAGCTTCGCTTAGCTAAGCTAAGCTGGGCGAGCCCAGGGGGCGCAACTGGGAGAACCGCGGGGCGGATGCCGGGGGAACCGCCCGGGGCGATTTACACTGCCCGGCCCTTCAAGCATATAGAGTAAGAACCCTTCTAGGCAGAGCCTAGGTAGGGAACAAATGGTTTTGATAAGAATTCGCAAGAGCGCGAGCGCCAGCTGCTTTGAAAATTCGTGTTGCAAAATCGGTTTTGACATCGCTACGAAACCAGAAAGTTTCTGAACGATTTCGGCATGCGCGTGCGACGACGCGCGCGTGCTCACCTCGTCATATATGTTGCAGGGGGTTGTTGAAACTTGTGATTTTTGAAAAACGAATGTGCGCGCATAGGATATGTTGCAGAAAATGGCGGGATGTTGCGAATTCACATTTAGGATGGACGGTGGGGCAGAATCAGGTGTAAACTGCTCATCCCCAGGGGGTGCCGATAAGTCCGGCCTCGGGAGAGTAGTGGAGTCGATTCTCTGTTCAGAAAATAGAATCTATGCGACTGCGACGGCGGCGACGGGCGGCACCGCGGCGGCGACGGCGACGGCGACAGCGGCGAAGGGCGGCACCGCCCGCAGAAGTCGCCAGTCGCCCGGAGCGGCGGCGACGGCGACGGTGACGGCGACGGCGGCAACGCGCGGCACCGCCCGCAAAAGCCGCCATTCGCCCCGAGATGGTTAAGCCAAGTAAGAGCCTCAAACTGCAATTACTGTTTGGGAAACTAGATAATAAATTTACATGTGTATATGTGCTAGCTAGCGCTGGCCCCAAACAGTATGCTTCTGGCAACCTATGTTGTGCCACAAAAGTTGTGCAATCCATGTGGTACAGTTGAAGATTTGCACTGTATGAGGTGCACCCAATGTGGTGCATTCGATGTGGAGCAAATCGCTTTGCAAAACTTGAAGATGTCAACCCCACTGCTCGCGCAATCATACCACCCACCCATCCGCAACCTAGTTTGTAGAACCCGTACGGCGGTGATTGCGATGACTTGAAGGAACCACTTGGAAGGAAACCCTGCCATTCAGACGAAGACCTCTTGGAAGCAACGCTGTCAAGTGCGCTCCGCGCACCTCGCGACAACATCCGCGTCCAAGAAAGCCCACTATAAGGTCAGACCTTCAGGTGCGGGCGAGCGTGCACTTCAGGCGGGCTACGCGAGGTATGATCGAACACGACACTTTTTGAGCTCGACGCCCTCTCTGTCACAATCAACACGCTTGCGGAAAGTGAGACCCTGGCTGGCGGAGACATGCAGAAGAGGAGGCCTAGGAAGGTTCTGGTATCCCCTACCCCAATCGGAATCAAGCTTCCCGTCAACCGAGGAGGTGTGAAAGGTGCTGCGGCTCCACTCCACTGTGGAATCGCTCGAAGCTATGAGATCCACCAGGACCTAAGAAGCGGACCGCGAGCGGGGCGATCCTGGATAGATGGATAGAGGGGCATGGGCGGGCCCGAAAAAGATTACACCTCCAAGTGGCGGCGAGAGTGAACTTCAAACGGGCTAATTGAGTCAGGATCGAATTCGACCGTCGTGTACAACGACGACACAGCTGCTGCTGGCGATGATGATGATGCTGCTGCTGATGATGAACAAAAGCCCCTCCGACGCCCTCTCTGCCAGAGTCAACACGCCTGCTGGACGTGAAATCCTAGCAGGCGGAGACCTGGTTGGGGGTCACCAAGGACGTTTGATTCGTGCCCTACCCCAGCCCCCATCAGGCTTCCCGTCGGACGATCAAAGCTGTAAGGTCCACAAGGACTTCCTCGAAGATACATCTCAGAAGGAAATCCATCCGCAGTCCAGACGAGGACCTCTTGGAAGCAACGCTGTCCACGACGCTCCCGAAGTCACGACTGGACGTTTCGGAGCCCTGCCGGAAAATCCTCCGCGAGCCGCGAGCCGCGAGCCTCACGCAACGCAGCAGCGGAGGAGAACGATTAGCAAGCAAGAAAACCGGACTGGGGCAATCCTAAACAGGGCGGGCATGGGAAAGCACGTCTACGGAAGCTGCACGAAGGATCATCTGTGCACCTCGCGACGGAATCCCTTAAATGAGATTTGCTATAAAATCACACCTTCAAATGCCGGATCGAATTCGACCGTCGTGTCGAACGACGACAAAGCTGCTGCTGGCGATGATGATGATGATGATGATGATGATGATGATGATGATGATGATGATGATGACGATGATGATGATGATGATGATGATGATGATGATGATGATGATGATGATGGTGATGATGATGATGCTGATGCTGATGCTGATGCTGATGATGATGATGATGATGATGATGGTGATGATGATGATGCTGCTGCTGCTGATGATGAACAAAAGCCCCTCCGACGCCCTCTCTGCCGGAGTCAACACGCCTGCTGGACGTGAAATCCTAGCAGGCGGAGACCTGGTTGGGGGTCACCAAGGACGTTTGATTCGTGCCCTACCCCAGCCCCCATCAGGCTTCCCGTCGGACGATCAAAGCTGTAAGGTCCACAAGGACTTCCTCGAAGATACATCTCAGAAGGAAATCCATCCGCAGTCCAGACGAGGACCTCTTGGAAGCAACGCTGTCCACGACGCTCCCGAAGTCACGACTGGACGTTTCGGAGCCCTGCCGGAAAATCCTCCGCGAGCCGCGAGCCTCACGCAACGCAGCAGCGGAGGAGAACGATTAGCACACAAAAAAAACAGACTGGGGCAATCCTAAACATGGCGGGCATGGGAAAGCACGTCTACGGAAGCTGCACGAAGGATCATCTGTGCACCTCGCGACGGAATCCCTTAAATAAGACTTGCTATAAAATCACACCTTCAACTGCCGGATCGAATTCGACCGTCGTGTAGAACGACGACAAAGCTGCTGCTGGCGATGGTTTGACGCCCACAGAAAACCCCTCCTGAAGGCGTGACAAGCAGGATGCATCCCTTAGTGCGCACCATCGATATGCTAAAAAACGCGGCAGAACTCTTCAAGTCCAGCTCGAACTTGAAGGTCGCGTTCCAGTCCCATGGGTCTCATGTCTGGAAGGAAATTTGCAATACCCTCGCCCAGCCGTATGCACCACCCCCTCTTTCCGCCACAGCCCTTTGCAAAAGATTGCAGCTTCGCGCACCCGAGGCCCAGCTGCATCCAAGACGGCCAAACATCGCCCCGAGGCGGACCAGTTCAGCCTCAAGACTGCTCAAGTTTTCAAGTTGGCTTCCAGACGGCCCACGAGGCCTCCGAAGCGTCCCAAGAGGGCCTCGAACGACAAACATCACATATCATAAGTATGCAGGCTTTTGTAACATGCTTTCCGGGCCCTGGCCTTTTATGCGTGCGACGTCTCAAGACGACCAACAAGGGCACCAAGACTCCCCAGGACGACCCAAGAGGTCCCCATGTGGCAGCTGGATAAGATCAGACCTTCAAGTGCCCAGCACGCCCAAGCCTTCTGATCAGATCAGGCCTTTGCCCCACAAGACCCCTGAAGACCCCATGCTTTCTCTGGCACTTGCAACCCAAAATGCTGCGCTGGCACGGTGGCGGAATTGCGGGAGCCAGCTGGGCAAGATCAAACCTTGAGGCGCCAGCGAGCGTGCACGTCATGCGGGCTACGCGGGCGAAGGTCGAATCCCACGGGCCCTCTGGGCACAGGACTTGTTGTCTTCTCTCTTCCAAATCCCCTCTTCCCCTTGCTCGGGGCCCCCCTTTTTTTGTTGACGCACACCCCCTCCCCCGCCCGACTGGCGACAAACCTGGGACAATGACTGGCCATCGCTCGGACGTCCATTCCCTGTTTTTTTCGGTTTCGTGCGTGGTTTTCTTCGCCAAATGATCAAGGATGCTCCTCGATGGTCCTCCCCGAAGGAAAAAATGCACACGTCCGAGCGATGCCGAGATGAGGCCCCCCCCCCGCCACCAACTGTCAGAAGCAGTGCGACGCGCAGCTCGTGGCAACATCTGGTGCCGTGCGCAGGCGCCCCGGGGAGCACCCTGCCTCGGTCTGCACAAACGCTGCGAGGGGCCACCACGCTCTCCGCTCCGCGCAGGCCTGCCACCCCTGTCTTAACGGGCGAAGAACGGTATAAAATAAACTTTTTCGCTGTCGGGGGCGCCTGTCCCAGGGCGGCTGGAAAGTTTATACCCTTACGGTGGCACCGTAGGGGTAGAAACTTTCCAGGCGCCCAGGGGCAGGTGTCCCCGACGGCGAAAAAGTTTATTTTATACCGTTCTTCGCCCGCTGACTGTCACGACAGCATGCAAAGTGCACTCTGCGGCAAGATCTGGATCATGCCCAGGCGCCCCGCAGGCACTTCGCAGGACTTTCTGATGCGGACGGCAGCCGTGCCCTCGAAACTTGCGCTCGGCGCCGACCCTGCATTTCTGTGAACACACGATGCAAGGCACACTGTGTGGCAAGAGCTGGTTCATGCGCGGGCACCCCGCGATCAATTTGCATTTGACAGGGGGGACGGCTGGGGGGGGCCTCACATTGAAAGGTCTGCGTAGGCTCACGACCCCTGACAAAACCCCATACCAAATGTACTTACTTCGTGGCAACACCTGAATCATGCACTGGCTCCCGCGATAATGTTGCATTGGTTTTGTTAAACAGGACGGCGGGGTGTCCTCATGTTGCTAACTCTGTGCTTCCGACGGGACTCATAAACCCAGCGGGATGGATGCCGGTAGCAACTGAAACCCGGACGCGATCAGAGACTGAACTGCGGGGTCAAGTCGCCCCGACTCTGGGGCAAGCGCCAGCCTGCGGAAAACTGAACTCCGAAGTTCAGTCGCCGCGAAGCTGGCGGATGCGACGGCCTGGAAACGATTGAATTCCAGAGTTGGGTGATTTCCACGCTGGGCGCACCAGCCCGAGACCGGCTTGACTCGGAATTAAATCACCACGGCGCTGGGTTGGGTGCTGCGACGACTGAACGGGAAGGATGTGGACGAAAAGAACCACGGAGCGCACGGGGGAAACGCCACAGCGCCGAAGCAACATCCACCAGTTGCAATCAATGGTAGTATAGGCACTACAAGTGCCATCAACATGCACAATCTCGATCGAAAACAACAGCGGATGGCGTCGGCGATCAAGGGTACACATTGATGCTTATGATGTGTAGTTTCCAAAACATGCTACCCATCGTGGGCCCCACACGCACAAGTTTCTTGCAACCTACGTGGTGAATCTACGTGTTGCAACACGTGTGGCGCAATCTAAGTGGTGCAATCAATGTGGTGCAACGTATGTGGCACAATTCATGCCATGCACTTTACGTGGTACAATCTATGTGGTGCAATTAATCTTGACCGTCTTGAAGCTGTCCTCTCCACTGCTCGTGCAAACATCCCACCCTCCCACCCGCAACTTGGTCGCAAGACCTCTTCAGACAAGACCGTGACGGTAGGTACCACATGGCACTTGGCCACGACACCGATGCCGACGACGACAGCGACATCGACGACGACGGCGCCGCCGACAGCGACTGCGACGACACCGACGACGTCTCCAATGTTTTCGACGGCGACAACGACGACGACGACACCGACGACGACGACAACGACGCCGACGACGACGACGAAGACGACGACGACGTCGCCAACGGAGACGACGACGAGGGAGGAGAAAAAACGACGACGGCGACAACGACGACAACGACGATGGAGGAGGGAAGACGGCGACGACGCCAACGACGAAGAAGGAGGAAGGACGGCGACGCCGACGACGACAACGACGAGGGAGGAGGGAAGACGACGACGATGACAACGACGACGAAGACGACGACGACGGCGACGAAATGAAAGGACGACGACGAGACGCCGACGACGGACGACGACGACGAGGGAGGAGGATAACGACGAGGGAGGAGTGAAGACCACGACGACGACGACGACGACGGCGACGAAATAGGAGGGACAACGACGAGATGCCGACGAAGACAACGAGGGAGGAAGGACGACCACGGCGACAACGACGACGGAAACGACGACGACGCCAAGACGACGACAACGACGACGAGGAAAGACAGAAGACGACGACGGCGACGACGACGACGACGAGGAAGGAGGAAGGACGACGACGACGACGACGACGCAAGAGCGCGCGCGCACGCTTCTGTTCAAAATCCGTGTTGCGAAACCTTGGGTTCTTGTAGGTTTTTTGGACGCACGATTTTGAAATCCTTCTGAAACCTATGGTTTTTGAAGGATTTCGGCATACGCCCGCGACGACGCGCGCGTCTGCACTTCGTCCCATTTTTTGCAAAGGATTCTCTCGACGGCACACGCGCAAGGGCGTTCGACAGATTTCGACATGCGCGCGCGCGAAGCCCGTTTGGTAGCATTGTGTGAAAATCTTGGAAAACCTATGGTTTTCTTAAGATTTGGCAAGACCTCACGCGGAAGTTTTTTTAGCAAATCAGTGTTGCGAAACCATGTGTGTTTTGCATGTTTTTCGGAAGCTCGATTGCGAAATCCTTCCGGCACCGAAGGTTTTTGAAGGATTTCGGCATGCGCGCGCGACGACGCGCGCGTGTGCACTTCGTCCAATTTTTTGCAAGGGATTCGTGAAAAAGTGTTATGTTAGAACAAAAAATGTTACCGCATAGTGTTTTTTACCAGGGAACCGCAGGGGGGGGGATACCGGCTTGGCTGGGATAGTATGAAGTCATATTTAGGATGGACATGTGGTCAGAATCATATGTAATTTATAACACGCGCGGGGGGGCCGATAAGTCCACGGGGGGGGGGGTAGAATCTATTAGTCTTTCAGAAAGGGGAATCCACTCTGCTGAACTTGAAGTCGTCATCTCCACTGCTCGCGCACACATCCCACCCACCCACCCGCAACTTGGTTTGCAAAACCTATTAAGACCGACTGCGACGACACCGACGACAACGACTAGGACGACACCGACGACGTCTCCGACGACTTCGACGACGACGACGACGACGACGCCGACGCCGACGACGACGAAGACGACGACGACGACGCCAACGAAGGCGACGACGAGGGAGGAGGAAGGACGACGACGGCGACAACGACGACAACGACGACAACGACGAGGGAGGAAGGAGGACGGCGACGACGCGAACGACGACGGAGGCGCCGACGACGACAACGACGAGGGAGGAGGGAAGAAGACGACGACAACGACGACGACGACGGCGACGAAATAGGAGGGACGACGACGAGACGCCGACGACGGACGACGACGACGACGTGGGAGGAGGAGGAAGGACGACCATGGCGATAACGACGACGGAAACGACCACGACGCCAAAGAGGACGACGACGACGAACACGAGAAACGACAGAGGACGACGTAGGCGACGACGACGACGACGACGCGGGAGGAGGGAGGACGGCGACGACGACGACGACGACGCAAGAGCGCGCGCGCACGCTTTTGTTGAAAATTCGTGTTGCGAAACCTTGGGTTTTTGTAGGATTGTTGGGCGCACGATGTTGACATCCTTCCGAAACCGATGGGTTTTGAAGGTTTTCGGCATGCGCCCGCGACGACGCGCGCGTCTGCACTTCGTCCCAGTTTTTGCAGAGGATTCTCGCGACGGCACACGCGCAAGGGCGTTCGACAGATTTCGACATGTGCGCGCGCGAAGCCCGTTTGGTAGCATTTTGCGAAAATCTTAAAACCGCTATGGTTTTCTTAAGATTTCGCAAGAGCTCGCGCGGAAGCTTTTTTAGCAAATCAGTGTTGCAAAACCATATGTGTCTGCATGTTTGTTGGAAACTCGATTGCAACATTCTTCCGGCACCGAGGGTTTTTGAAGGATTTCGGCATGCGCGCGCGACGACGCGCGCGTGTGCATTTCGTCCCATTTGTTGCAAGGGTTTCGCGAAAAAATGTTATGTTAGAACGAAAAATGTCACCGCATGGTGTTTTCTTTTACAAAGGAACCTCAGGGGGGGAACCCGGCCTGGCTGGGATGGTATGATGTCAAATTTAGGATGGACGGGTGTGCAGAATATATATATATATATATATATATATATATGAAATAATACTATCCCAGGGGGAACCGATAAATCCGGGGGGGGTAGATAGAGTCTATTCTCTTTTTAGAAAGGAGAATTGATTTTTACCCACGCTCTTGCCAACATCCCACCCACCCGCCCGCAACTTGGTTTGCAAAACCTATTAAGACCGACTACGACGACACCGACGACAACGACGACGACGAAGACGACGACGACGACGCCAACGAAGACGATGACGAGGGAGGAGGAAGGACGACGACGGCGACAACGACGACAACGACGACAACGACGAGGGAGGAGGGAGGACGGGGACGACGCGAACGACGAAGAAGGAGGAAGGACGGCGACGCCGACGACGAAAACGACGAGGGAGGAGGGAAGAAGACGACGACAACGACGACGACGACGGCGACGAAATAGGAGGGACGACGACGAGACGCCGACGACGGACGACGACGACGACGAGGGAGGAGGAGGAGGAAGGACGACCACGGCGACAACGACGACGGAAACGACCACGACGCCAAAGAGGACGACGACGACGAACACGAGAAACGACAGAGGACGACGTAGGCGACGGCGACGACGACGACGACGACGCGGGAGGAGGGAGGACGGCGACGACGACGACGACGACGACGCAAGAGCGCGCGCGCACGCTTTTGTTGAAAATCCGTGTTGCGAAACCTTGGGTTTTTGTAGGTTTTTTGGACGCACGATGTTGACATCCTTCCGAAACCGATGGGTTTTGAAGGTTTTCGGCATACGCGCGCGACGACGCGCGCGTCTGCACTTCGTCCCATTTTTTGCAAGGGATTCGTGAAAGAGTGTTATGTTAGGAAAAAAAAAAGTCACCGCATGGTGTTTGTTACTAGGGAACCTCAGGGGGGGATACCGGTTGGCCTGGGATATTGTGATTTCATATTTAGGATGGACATGTGGTCAGAATCATATAAGATTTACAGACCCGAAAGGTGACGTGATAACGCCGGGGGGGTAGAGTCTATTCTGTTTTTGAAAAGAGAATTCACCCTGCCGAACTTGAAGTTGTCGACTCCACTGCTAGCGCTATCGTCCCCACCCACCCACCCGCAACTTGGTTTGCAAAACCCATGCGCTGGCGATTGCGCTGGCTGGAGTGTTTGGTGTTGGCCTGTGCATATCTGCGGCCGCGCTAGCCCGCGCATGCTCGCGCGCGCAACGGCCTCCTCCTCCTCCTCCTCCTGCTCCCTCCTCCTCCCCCTCCTCCTCCTCCTCCTCCTCCTCCTTCTCTTCATCATCCACCTATTCCTCATCGTCCCTCCGCAGTCCTCCCCCCCTTCCTCTGCTCCTGCGCCTGCTCCTGCTCCTGCTCCTGCTCCTCCTCCTTCTCCTCCTCCTCCTCATCCTCATCCTCATCCTCATCCTCTTCCATCCTCCCCCTACGACGGCTTCCCAAACCCACGTTTAAGGCCACTCGCCCCTTGGCAACTCGCCGTGTCGCTCGTCGCCGTGTGGTGTCTTCGTCTGGCCCCGTCTGCGCCGGACAAAAAAAAAAGCCCCAGCTGCTGGAGGCAAGGCGCCTTCCCCCCCTCGCCGACATCGACCTCATGCCGTGGCGGGGCAAGCCTGGCCGGGCGCTCCCTCTCCGGGGCGCGTGGGCCTGGCTGGCTCGCGGCCGAACCGGCTGGGGCCCGGAGAGCACGGGATCCTCTCACGCACGTCGAAGACGGACGGCCTGCTCGGGCGGGTGGCAGTGGGGAGTGACCTCCACGGGGTGACCTGCGTCCGCTCGCTGCTCGTAAGACGAAACCAGGACGAGGATAAAATCGGATGAGGATACATCGAGAATCTCGGAGATCTGGCGGCTCTGGAGGATGTCTCGGGCGCCGCGGCCTTCTCAGAGCGTTCCGGAACGCTCTGAGAGCGTTCCGGAACGCTCTGGAACGGATTTGTCCTCGTCCTGGCCCCGTCCGACGATGGACCCGAACGGGGCCTTTCGGGGACCCTTTGGGCCCCTGCAAGCTACAGAGGCCCCTTTCTCCACCCCCCATGTAGGTCACCCCCCATTACCACCCGCCCGACCTGCGGGAGATGCTCTGGCCAAGACTCGGCAGATCACCCTTGCGGTCCTCATCTCGTCGGCACGGATCGCCGCTGAGAGGTTTGTGCCCAAGCAAGGTGCAGGGGGGCCGCTCAGCCTCACCGGCCATCTCACTGGTCCCGTGGAGCCCAAGGCAGTCCTTGGAAAGCATCGAGGACTCCTCGGAGAGGACGGAGGTGGACTCGATGTCGCTCGACAGGTTGCCAACTGCCCCGCCGCTGGCCAGCTCCTCTCCCGGCAACAACTCGGGCGCCGCGAAGGCACCAGCCACGAGCCGGCGTGACGTGGGGCTGCCCATGCGAGGCTCGGGGATCCGCATGTCCAGCCTCCTTTGGGCGTCGCGTAATGGGAAGGCGATGATAGGGGGGGAAGAAAGGTGTACCCTGCGGGCTCTGAAAGCCCCCCCTCTGGGGCCCGAAAGGGCCTCCTATAGGGCCCTGCAGAAACCTTCTTCAAAGGCCCCTTTTCTGCAGCCCTCGCTGCCCCCCAATTTACCGCCACCCCATGGCGCGGCGGCCAACTCTTGGAGGCCTGGAAATTGGCACCGACACCAGCACAGGGGGTTGCCTCCACATGGGGAAGATGATCCTAGATTTCGGTGTTGGTGGTAATACTTCGGTCACCTTTCAAGCCAAAGCATTACCACCATCACCGAGATCGGGATCGTCTTCCCTCGGTTGAGGCACACCGCCGATCTTGCTGTTGGTGTCAACCTCTAGGCCTGCGAAACGCCTCATATAGGGAAGGTCTTCGAGAGTCGCAGGTGCCGAACTCGGAGGAGGCTGGAGCGCACGGGGCCTGCGGATCTGCTCGGGGCCGAGGCCGCCAGGGCCAGGGCCCGACACGGCCCCGCCGCGGCCCACTCCGAAGGGGCGCCCGCGGGTCAGCCCGAGAGTCGAGGGCTGCCTCGGTGCGGGCGCCACGCCGGATGCCTCCGCCCATGCCAACGCTGGCCTCGGTCGCTGCTCGCTGACAAGAGGGAGACCGTCGCCCGCAAAACTCGGCATCCCTGCGGTGCCTGGAGTGGCCATGCTGCAGCGTTGCGCAGGGTGCTTCGCTCCAACTGGTCGCCGCTGGGCTGCCTCCGAATCGCAAAACAAATCGTGGCCCAAATGCCAAATGCTGAGCCAAAAACGGCTTGAGCCAAGTTTAGATACGGAATGCAATCTTTGGAGCGGTGTTGGGAGGACGCTGGGGCCCCTGGAGATCTCCGAAGTATCATGGTGGACTACTGGTACATCTTTGAGACCTCGTGGAGTGCGTTGTGGCTCCTCTGACTATGGAGAGACGTGAGGGGGCACAGGCTCACGGGGGGAAACCTCGATTTGGAATTGGCGATACATCGTTCCTCCTCCTCCTCCTCCGCCTCCTCCTCCTCCTCCTCTGCCTCCTCCTCCTCCTCCTCCTCCGCCTCCTCCTCCTCCGCCTACTTCTCCTCCTCCTCCTCCTCCTCCTCCTCCTCCTCCTTCTCGCCGACAGATCAGCGACCAGCCCCTGGTAGCGACACTGGACGGTCCCGAGCGGGGCGGGCCCTCGGGCCCTTGTCGGCGATCCATTGGGCGATCGGGGGTCGATGCATCCCCCCCTGGGCGTGTCCCCCCGACTGATGCCCCTGAAGGAGGAGGAGGAGGAGAAGGAGGATGCGGGACTTTTGGTCCGGCCGCGCCTCAGCTACAGGAGACTTATTTCTCGCCCGCCCACGCAGCTTCGCCTCGCCCGCACGCGCGGCACGCACGAACACGAAACCGAAACCGATTTCCTGGTAGGGGGGCTCTCCGTTCCACTTCGATCTCACCCCCTCACCTCCGACATATATATATATATATATATATATATATATATAGATATCGGAGGTTGGGGGGTGGGTCCGACGTGAAACGGAGACATCCCCCCTACCAGGAAATCGATTTCGGTTTGGGGGTTCGTGTCGTGCGTGCCGTGCGCGCGTGCGGGCGAGGCGAAGCTGCGTGGGCGGGCGAAAGGAAATCCTCCTGTGGCTGGGCCGCGGCCGGGCCAAATGTAACTCCTCCGGCGGCCGGTGCCCCGCGGTGTCCCGCCGGTGTCCCGCGGGTGTCCCGAAATCCTCCTGTGGCTGGGCCGCGGCCAGACCAAACGCGACTCCTCCGGCGGCCGGTGCCCCACGGTGTCCCGCCGGTGTCCCGTGGTGTCTTGTGGTGGCCCGTGGTGGCCCGTTCAGTGAGATCGATAGTGAGATCGATAGTGAGATCGATTTGGTGCCCCGAGGTGTCCCGTGGTGTCCCGTGGTGTCCCGTTCAGTGAGATCGATAGTGAGATCAATAATGAGATCGACAGGTGTCCCGTGGTGCCCCGTGGTGTCCCGTTGAGTGAGATCAATAGTGAGATCGACAGTGAGACCGATAGTGAGATCGAGAGGTGTCCCGAGGTGTCCCGTGGTGTCCCGTCGTGGCCTGTGGTGTCTCGTGGTGTCCCGTTGAGCGAGATCGATCGTGAGATCGATAGTGAGATCGGCAAGTGTCGATTTGGTGCCCCGAGGTGTCCCGTGGTGTCCCGTTGAGAGAGATCGATAGTGAGATCGACAGGTGTCCCGTGGTGTCCCGTTGAGTGAGATCGATAGTGAGACCGATAGTGAGATCGAGAGGTGTCCCGCGGTGTCTCGTGGTGTCCCGTGGTGGCCCGTGGTGTCCCGTTGAGTGAGATCGATAGTGAGATCGATGGTGAGATCGACACGAGTCCCGTGGTGTCCCATGGTGTCCCGTGGTGTCCCGTGGTGCCCCGTTGAGTGAAATCGATAGGGAGATCGATTGAGTCAGATGTTGGTTCCCCCCCTCCCCCCCCAGATGGTGGTCGTAAAGGTACACACACACACGTGTCCCTCAGCCCCCCCTTACTCACACACACACAATCTCTCTCTGTTCATAAATATATATACACATATATACTAGATACACGCGCGCGTCGCGCTCATGTTCCAGTTAGGCGTATGCACAAGTTTCGTTGTGATACCAAGGGGGTCAAGGGGGTGGGAGAAAGTTGCAGTAGATGTCAATGATCCCCATCTACCGAGGGTCAACTGGGGATTGATTGAGGGCGGGACGTCGTGTTCTCCAACTCCCTGCCCCTCGTCGCGATCGGCCTTCTCGATGAGAAGCAGCAACAGCAACAGCAGAACGATCAGGGTCGCCAAGGGGAGAAGCAGGAGCAGCAGGAAAAGGTTTCGCAGGGATCCACCAACACAGATCCTGACGAGGCCAATCGGGTCATCTGAGGTTGGTCTGGGAGGCTTCGTGGACCGTCCGAGGCTGTCGTACGCCCGATCCCCCAGCGTGGCTGAGTTGTGGGTCGGAGCTCTCTTAGATGCCTACAAGGGTGCCTTGGGAAGGCTCAGGGGAGCCTCTAGGTTGTAGTTTTGAACATATCTGGGGCCTTTGGGGAGCCGTTTAGGGGCTCTTTGGGCCTGTTGGGGCCTCTTGGGGCCTGCTCGCGGTCTCAGGGGATCTCGTGGGCCGTCTTGAAGCCCTCTGGAGGCCCCATAGAGGGCTCCACCGAAGGTTCCAGTGTCACAGCCCGCATGCGTCTCCCCCACCCAGTACAGCGTTCCGTTGCCCCATAGGGAGCTCCACCGAGGGTCCCAGTGGCGCAGTCCGCATGTGTCTCACCCGCCCAGTACACTGCTTCGTGGTCCTAAAAGGGGGCTCGGGGGCTCCACCGAAGACGATACCTACAACTGCGCTATTCACAACTGCATATGGTTGGGTCCTTCGCCAGGCTAGTTAACAAGATTTCTGGTGGGTGTAGTCTTACTGCCATGATTCGTTTTACGACCACGAGGGACCCGGCTGCAGGCAAAGAGACTGTTTGGCCAGTCGGGCGGAGCAGGTTCAGGTGTGACAGCGCTCCCGCTTGGATAAGCGAGGCTCGGCGGGTGGGGAACCATCGTGTTATCGCTTGCATGGACGCAGCGGGTCCCGGAAGGAAGGGACCTTGGCAGTTTGCCACTGCTTTCGAACCCCTGGATCCCTCCACGGGCCATGATGAAGAATTGGTGCCGGGGGACCCCCCGAAGTCTAGGCTCCGTTTCCCTCAGGACCCCTTTCCTTCGCATCGCTCGGACGTCCATTTCACGTGCGCGTGTCGGTCTCGTGCGCTCATTTCTCCCGAGATGATCCAACATTCTCCTCGATGGCCCTCGCTGAGGACAACGCACACGTCCGAGCGATGCTAAGTTTCCTTCGTGACGACTTCAGTCACAGCTTCTCTCCTCACGCTGGCACCAGCAACGCGACGTGGAGTGGCCCAACCAGTCGGTACGATGGTTTCCGTTCCCCTCTCCCATTCGCCCCGGCGCGCGCGTGCTGGCAAGTGGGGGGGGGCGTACCATAGCTGCTTGTGGTCATGGCAGTCTGGAAAGGCGGCGTGGCCGCCGAAAGAGCAGAGTCAGCAAGCAAATCAGAAGCTGCAATTCATCAATCAATTGCATTGCTCTCCGATGGTCTCTCCCCCTCGATCCTCGATCATCGGCCCTCCTCCTGCTCTTCGCCTCCTCCTCCTCTCCCTTCCCCCTCTACTCCTCTTCCATCCATCCGCCCTTCCTCCTCCTGTGTTGTTCCTTCCTTACTCCTTCTACCCCCCCTCCCTGATCACTACCAATACTCTCACTCGTATTACTAATGCTCGTTATCCTCCTTCTTCTCCTCCTTCCTGATACTGAACCACCGATCCTTCTCCCCCTCTTCTTCCTCCGCCCTTCCCCCCTCTTCGATCCTCTCCCCGTCTTCCTCCACCCTCTACCAGATCCTCCTCCTCCCACTTCCCTTCTCCCCCTCCTTCCTCGTCGTCGTCCTCCTTCATTTCCTCCTCTCCTCCCCCTCCTTCTCCTCCTCCTCCTCCTACCCCTTCTCCTCCTCCTCCTCCTCCTCTTCCTCCATTCCTTCTCCTTATGAATAACTTCTCCCTGTCGCACTCCGAAGCAAGTTATTAGGGCGGGCCAGGCGTTTCGCCTGAGACATCCTCACAACATACGACTCTGAAGTTTAAAAAGGTGACAACAGCTTCACAGATGGAGGGCAGGCGGTTTTCAAAATGTGGCTCTCGCCTTAGCACCGCGCACATTCGTTTTAAACATTTGCAAGAGCTTCACGGATTGAGGGCGGGTGGTCTTCAAAATGTGACTCTTGCTTTAGCGTGGCGCACATTCGCTTTACACATTCGCAAGAGCTTGATGGATTGAGGGCGGCTGGTTTTCAAAATGCGGCTCTCGCATTCGCGCCACGCACATTGTTTCAAAAAGTGTAAGAGTTTCACGAACTGAGGGCGGCTCCTTTTCAACATGTGGCTCTCGCCTGAGCGTCGCGCACACTCGTTCTTAACATTTGCGAGACCTTCACAGGTTCTCATGATTGACATACCAGAAAATGTGTGTTGTAAGGGTTGAGGATTATGCGGGCGCAACAGTTATGCTGATTCGCTGTGTTGAAGTCCCACAAATGGCGTTCTGGCATGATTCTGGATCGTCAAAGCACAACAGTCAGGTTGATACGTGGCGTTGCAATCCCGAGAACAATCTTTTGGCACGCTTCAGGATCTTCAAACTGTTGTCTTCCAACGAGGCAGTTCCCTCAATGGAAATCAACCGTTGTAGGGGCCTATGAAGAGGGAGCTTGGAGGGATGGTTAATTCCAACATCGTTGATGACTCTTGGGTTTCCGCTGGTCCGCCTCCTCCTCCTCCTCTTCCTCCTCCTCCTCGTCTGAACCCCTGGGAGCTAGAGCGATTCCGCATGATGTGCTTGTTCAGGAGGATGACCGCCGGGCCAGAGATGCAGTACAGGGTAAGGGAGGCTGCAACCTCTTGGCTGGGACGGGGTAGGGGGGCCAGGAGGCGGCGGAGGAAAAGGAGCAGAGATCAGATGCTTTGAAGTCCCATCACGGTGTGCCCAGAAAACACGAACTTTCCCAGGGCCAGCTTGTCGTCCTGAGCCGTTGTTTGAATCGGCGCCGAGCGAGGGGGGGAAAGTGAGAAGGAGAAGGCCTTGCCAGCAGGCGGCGTGATTTCACAGAATCCCTCGATCCTTCTGAGAAGAGTTCCGGGTCTTCGGGGAAGGCCTAGAAAACTTCCCCGAAGGCCGGGGGACTCCAGGCCTTCTGAGAAGGCCCGCCCCTTCTCACTTCCCCCCCTGGCGCGCCGATC